TATATACATATATCCCTAAAGATTATTCTACTTTTTTTTTTCTCATAATAAGAAAGGAATGAGTTGCTATTTAATTCATCCTATTTAATTCATATTTCATTGGTGTTCGACTGTAATACATGTGTTTATATTAGTATGTTATATAATATTTAATTTAATAGAAAATGCTAATTTTGTATAGGTAATGAAAAAAAAAGTATTTTTAGCTACAAGAACTTCTAAGTGAAAAGCGGGGTATAAATACCACTTGTGTTCTAAGCTCTCCATAAGGAGTTCAAGCCTTTTTAACAAAGTTCTTTATAGCTTCAAATGCGCTGCATATTATATACATACATACCTAAGAATCTTTCTATTGTGTTCTCATAATAAAAAATGACGCAGTATAAAAATAAATATAATTAAACTACCTTGGAATTTAAACAAATTTAAGATAAAATTAAATGACTCGTACATTGCTAACAAAAGAGGTGCAAGACAACTCGCTAACGACACGAGCTGCATTTCGATATAATGCAAATAATTTATAATATTTTTGGGCAGCATTTTGGTACAACGTAAATAATTCAAGAATTTACGGGCAGCATTTCAACATCGCTGAAATAATTGAAAATTTTAAGAGAATTACTAACTTAAAAATGTTAAAAGTTATATAAGATCTATACGGGTCGTTATTACACCAGACAATCAAAGTGTTATGTCAACCTTCTTCGTACCAGTAGTCCTGCATCGTCGTGTTTCAAGACTATGTACATATCAATACAATATTAACAAATTAATTAACATTTCTTTTAACATATTTAAAATTATTTCAACAATAATGAAATAATAATTTTTGACAAAATATTAAAGACAACATTTCATAATATTACAAATAATTTAAAGCAATTTCGAGCATTAGAGTATAATACATACACTTGTTCTTGAACTTCCAGGTTTTGAGGGGGGTACAAAAGACCACTTACATCACAAGCTCTTCTTATAATAAGATAGTTTAGGCTTTTTGACAAAGTTGTTCATAGCTTCACATGCACTGCATTTCATATACATAAATCTCTAACGATTATTCTATTGTGTTCTCATAATAAGAAGTGATGCAGGATAAAAACAAATATAAGTAAACAGACTTTGAATTTAAACAAACTTAAGATAAAATTAAATGACTCGTACCTTGCTAACAAAAAAGTGCAAGAAAAGATTTTGATGATACGAAGAACATTTTAACACGGCACAAATAATTCATAATATTTTTGGGCAGCCTTTCAAGATGTATTTTTTTTTTATAAATCTCATTATTCAAATTTTATATTCAAGCCAAGATTTATCAATGAGTAGTTTGTCTTAATATGCTTGTAGTTGAGCGACATAAATATGAGCTCAATAAATGTAATGTTTACATATTTGACCATTGAAACCTAAAATGTGTACTTTGAAAGTTAAAATAGTTGTGCTGCATATAAATTACATTCATTAATAGTTTAGCACCTAAATGAGCTTCATAATATTACAAATAATTTAAAGCAATTTCGAGCATTAGAGTATAATACATACACTTGTTCTTGAACTTCCAGGTTTTGAGGGGGGTACAAAAGACCACTTACATCACAAGCTCTTCTTATAATAAGATAGTTTAGGCTTTTTGACAAAGTTGTTCATAGCTTCACATGCACTGCATTTCATATACATAAATCTCTAACGATTATTCTATTGTGTTCTCATAATAAGAAGTGATGCAGGATAAAAACAAATATAAGTAAACAGACTTTGAATTTAAACAAACTTAAGATAAAATTAAATGACTCGTACCTTGCTAACAAAAAAGTGCAAGAAAAGATTTTGATGATACGAAGAACATTTTAACACGGCACAAATAATTCATAATATTTTTGGGCAGCCTTTCAAGATGTATTTTTTTTTTATAAATCTCATTATTCAAATTTTATATTCAAGCCAAGATTTATCAATGAGTAGTTTGTCTTAATATGCTTGTAGTTGAGCGACATAAATATGAGCTCAATAAATGTAATGTTTACATATTTGACCATTGAAACCTAAAATGTGTACTTTGAAAGTTACAATAGTTGTGCTGCATATAAATTACATTCATTAATAGTTTAGCACCTAAATGAGCTTTTTATGCTGTATATAATTTATTTTCTTCATTATATATAATTTGATCCACGATATCTTTAATTATTAATTTAATTTTATTATATAATATATATATATATATATATATATTGATCTTATTTTATTGATTTTAACGTGCAAGCATCATGAGAATTGATTGCGATATGCTATTATAATGCAATTGGCCAAACAGAACCTGTAGCTTTAATTGTGAAAGTTTATTATAACCGTTGAAAGCGGGTGATGTCAATTTCATTTTTATAATTCCTTTGTTATTTTAGTAATTATCTTTCAAAGATAATAGAATCGAAAAACTAATTTATGTATAATAAAAATATGTCAGGTTGAATCTTCTTGGCGGACCACCCACAGCTAGGACTAATCTCAGCCTGGAAGGTCCATAGCCTTGAAGGCCCGCAGATTGGACGACCACTAACGGGCACCAACTTGGATGACCGTCCTAGAGCCAATCATGGTTAGCCAGCCAAGACACGCTCATACATGTAAAATATCAAAAATACATCTATAATGTCTCATTAAAGCATTTGTACCTTCTTCTCTTTAAATAGAAAGATTATTTTATAAAAAATGGGTTAATCAACACTTCTGATTACTATTCATTAGTGTGTATTTCGCTCTGTTCTTTTTTCTCTCTTTTGTATTACTCTCTATTTCATCAGTGTGATTCACGAATAGATCATAATTAATCAATGCTGAAAATCTAAACACTAAAAAACATGATTAAAATCTTTTATTGGATATTGAAAAAATTTAAAATTGAGATATAGATCAAATTAATTATTGGAAAAAATTTACTATTTATGAGATAATTTCATTGTTTCAAAATAATTCATTATAATTAGTATTTTTTTTCTATAACTTATATTATATTTTTGGAAATAAATCATTATTTATTTTATTACATATATATTTTGGTGAGCAGGTGGTTAATTTAGTTTTAAAATATATTAAAATCATATTATTATGTCTTAAAGTACCGTTTGAATTTATTAAAAATTATTTAATTATTCCCGTGCAACATTATTTGATTACTCATTGTTTCATCATCATATCAATTTAATTATTGATTTTCAAACTTAAAATCATAAATAATTTGGAAAAAAAAAATTAGGTCTTGTAAATATTTCCGAATATCTTTATAATCTTCTAATCATTTTTTTCTAAACAATTTGCATTGTTTTTTAATGCAATTTCACTTGATTATAAGCTTTTATGATTTATTTCATTTTTTTCAATGTAAATAATTCAATTTTTACATTTAAATATATAATTTTATTCACGTGTAATTAAAAAATAAAAAGTATATAGAAAAATAGTTTGGGTTAATCGGCCAAATATGGCTTTTATTAAATGGAGGATAACTAAAATTTCTCGAATTATAATACACTAATTTATTAAAAAATATTTCAAATTAAGATGTGCTAAACAAAATTATAAAAATATAAAATAATAATATTAAAAAAACCGCTGTCGGCCCGAATCTAATTCCGTTCGATCTGCAATCACGCAGAGTCGATTTTGATTTAAAATTGAGTTAAAAAAATGATTTTTTTTTGGAATAAAGTGTTTTTGATTTGATAAAAAGGAAAAAGAAGGAGCGTTTAATTTTGGAAACTAGCAGGAAACGCGTTTCATCATAAGATTCGATCCAGGATGCTGCTTCAATGCCTATAAATGGCGCCAACGGACATCTAGCTTAATTCGTCCGAAAGAAGTTGCTAAAAGCGCTCGTCTTTCGTTGTGCCGAGCGGTTCCTACGGTTTACTATTTCGTCTCGCCGCGTTTAGCGAAGATATTTGCAGGAAAGATCACGTTTTTGCCCATTATTATTGTAAGTTTTAGCAGTTCGGATCTCTTTTTCTCTGCTCTTAATTCGTGTCTTCGGTCATTTGTTGGGGATTTGATTAATTTTGATTTGTCCTTTCTTTCTCTGGCTGTCTTTTTGGCTTTGATATGTCTAGGTAATGCAGATTCTTCTTTCCCTTTTTTGATTTTGTTAAGTTTTCTTTCATTGTATTTCTGCTTCTCTTTTTTGATCCGGTAGTTTTCATCTATTGATAATTCCGTGTTTCTGTGTTTGTATGTAATTTTTTCTTTAAACTTCATTTGATTCGTGAAATTTCTTTCTGGTAATGGGTTGAATCTATTGTCTTTTTTATCCCATTAATTTGGGATAGACTTTATGTTTGTGTGATGATCCCTGGTGTTTTAGGGTTTATTTTGCTCATCGTCGTTTTCCTTTGGCTATGATCAGAGACATATTGATGTTTATATGACGTTTATAATGTTTGTACGATTATTTTTCTTCAGTTTTTCTCTTCTTCTGGTCGAGTTTTTTCATTTTACAAGCAAACGACTTTCTCATCTTGAGTTTCAACAGTGGCATCTATTGTTTCAATTTTTTTTATTTTTATTTTTTGCAGATTTATTTAGTTTATATTTATGCTATTAATTTTAAGTGAAAGTATGACATTTACGCACTTTGATCGGATCAAACTGGAAGCCAGACATTTTTAGGTTTTTTTTTTTTTTTGCAAGGTCACTTTTAAAGGAACAATCTCATTATGAATTGTGATGATGCAGGTTGTTTGGATGTTGTAATGGAGTCAAAAGCTGGGAAGAAGAAACGCAGTAGTAATTCTTTACAGTACGAAGTTCCCCTAGGCTACAGCATTGAGGATGTTCGTCCCAACGGCGGAGTGAAGAAGTTCCAATCTGCTGCTTACTCCAACGTAATAAACTCAAAAATCCTTCTTTTTTTTCAAATTTTATTTAGCCGCGACAGTGTTTCTGATGGATTCTAATTTCATTGATCTGTGTTACAGTGCGCTAGGAAGCCTTCTTGATAACCTTGTTGGGTATAGCTTAATTAGTGCAGGGATTTCCCTGCACTATTGCTTTGATTTTCTCTGCTTTGCTGCTCACCAATTCATAACCATTCCTTCAACCCTGTCTTCTTCTTCTGTGTTTTTCATCTTTCTTCTCCTGCATCATCTGCTGCTCTGTCAAGCTTGAACTGATGGCCCTCTCGTCGATTGGATTCGAAGGATATGAGAAGCGCCTTGAAATCACCTTCGCAGAAGCTCCTTTGCTAGTCGATCCTCATGGCCACGGCCTTCGTGCTCTCAGCCGGCCCCAAATTGACTCCATTCTGGAGCCTGCAAAATGCACCATTGTCGCAAAGCTTTCCAACATGGATTTTGATTCCTACATTCTCTCTGAATCGAGCCTTTTTGTGTACCCATACAAGATAATTTTGAAGACTTGTGGCACTACCAGGCTCCTGGCATCAATTCCTGTGATCCTGAATCTGGCCGCTGAGCTTTCACTATCTGTAATGGCAGTGAAGTACTCTAGAGGAAGCTTCATATTCCCAAAAGCACAGCCTTCTCCCCACAGAAGCTTCTCTGAAGAAGTAGGAGTTCTCAATATGTTCTTCGGCCACCTTGCATCTGGTGGGGCTGCTTATGTTATCGGTAATCCATCGGCGCCGAACCAGAACTGGCATGTTTATTATGCTTCTGAGAAGCCTGAACATTCAATGGTGACAGTTGAGATGTGCATGACCCGATTAAACAGTGAGAAAGCAACTGTCTTCTTCAAGAATTCTGCTGGCGGCAATGTTTCATCTGCTGGAATGATGACTGAAAGATCTGGGATTCCTCGTATCATCCCTGAAATGGAAATATGTGACTTTGAATTCCACCCCTGCGGGTATTCGATGAATGGAATCAAAGGCAAAGCTTTTTCAACCATTCACGTCACGCCAGAGGAGGGATTCAGTTATGCGAGCTATGAAGCAATGGGCTTTGAGCCAAGCAAGCTGAGCTATGGCAATCTGATTGGGAGGGTTCTTAGGTGCTTTGATCCTGCAGAGTTTTCTGTGGCAGTCACAATCTTTGGTGGGCGCCCCTTTGCTTGCTCATTTGGTCGGAAGCTAGATGTTCATGGATACATGCGCAGGGATTGTGTGGAGCAGAAGCTCCGAGGCGGCGGACTGCTCGTGTATCAAAGCTTCTCTGTTTCGGCCATAGATGAAACTAACTCTCCGAGGTCTATTCTGCATTGCTGGGAAGGGGTGAATGAGGATGAGAAGAGCAGGAAGGAGATGGTGTTCTGAGAATTATATGATTAATGGTGAAAGAGTGAATTTCTACTGTTGCTTTATAATAAAAATGTCTGTTGTAGACTTTTCCTGGTCAAGCGGGCATTAGGTTACCGTTGCTTTTGATTTGTTTTTCTTTGATGCTTGTTTTGTTGTTTACCCGTCTCTAGTTTGCTGATGTCTGGTTTCTTGAGTTTGAATAAAAACTTCAAGAACTATGTGTTGTGTTACTATGAGTTTTGTTTGAATTGTTTTTCATGTTAAATTACTAGTTTTTGGATGAATTTTAAGTGTGGAAATCCAATTCTGTTTTAATAAATTTGATCATAAAACATTAGTCTACATTATAAAAAATTGTGAGAATTAGTAATTACATGGGTTCTAAGTGAGCCCAAGATTTATCCTTTTGAAATGACTAGTAAGGCGGCCTGTTTTTGTTCGGCTCTATTCAACTCCTAAATTTTATTTTTTACATTTATACCGCCCTAATCTCATATTCATTTTTTTTAAAATACAATATAAAAATTAATATGAAAGGATATAAACAAATATTATTATTTAAAGTAAGTTTTTTTCATGCGAAGATGGGGACATGAAAGCTTTTTGTACAATTGAATGCTTGCAAAAGGGTTTCCTTCCCTTTGTATATTTATATTGAAGCCTACAATTCAAATGTTTGTTTTTCTGTTTGTGTATCGATGGTGCTCTTGTAAGGTTTCTTTCCCTCCATCTATCATTGGGCATAGTCAAGGCCACCCCTTTTTATGCCCCCTTTGTCTCTCAGATTAAGGTTCTTCACTGAAAAAAAGAAGAAAAAGCTAGCCAAAGCTAGCTAGCGAGGTTAAAGCCGGCCAAACTATTAAATAGACCCAAGATGAATAGAGGGGTGAAAAAACACCGAAACCAATCATCAAACAACAGAACCAAGAAAGATTCGATTCTATAGCACCTCCAAGAATCCAAACATCTCAGAGACATCCAAAGGCCTCTCAATAGAGACCAAGGATGATCGGGCCATGTATCAACCGACGCCAAAATCGACCAAGCGCAGACGACTGAGCAGATCTCAACCGATTGGGTTGATCTTATGACCCAAAGCAAATTAATTCTAGCCGACGGAGCTAGAAAGCAGACGGACGACAAGCTTACCCATGTCAAAGATTAAAAATACATCCTACAACACCCTTTAAAGTAGAGAAAAAAAATATAACATCATCACATTATACTCTCACGTCTATAAATAAGGATATAATTTTATAAATAAGACACGATTAACACAATGTATTATTGTTCAATTTTGTTCGCTCATTTCTCTCTATTGCTCCTCACTTTTACTATATTCCTTAGGTGTTGTTTATGGACAAATCAAAATTCAACAATCTATATAAAAACAAATTAATAAGAAAAAGAAAAAAAAAACTTATCATTTATCAATAATTAAAAATTTAAATATAATGTTAAGTTAACTTTATAAATATTATATAATTTTTAAAAGTAAGCGGTTAATTTTTTATAAGAACTATTTTAAAATTATAAAAAATGAAATTACTAAATCCCCTTTGAAATTGATTTTCAATATTTTTTAGATAAAAAATTTTCTAGCAAAACTTGACTCTAGACTCATAATAGCAATATTTTAAAAAACGCCTTATATATATATATATATATATATATGGAGTGATATTTAAAAAAAATTATTTTGCATAAAAATATACTCATGATTTTTTTACAAAGATAAAATTTCAAAAAAAAAAATTCGACCATGCATATAGTGTTACAAATAGCTGCCAGACGAATACAGTGAGCCCAAATGAAAATACAACGTAAATTTCACCCCAACCCAGAAATTACAGAAAAAAATTACGAGGATAAAACTATAAAAAAAGAAAAAAAGAGTAAAGCGAAGGAAGTTAAAGAAGTAATTGAGCCTTCAGCGCCAATATCACCATAACTACACCTTAGTTAATGAAGCGAAAGCTCTTCTAACTCCTCTTCCTCCTCCTCGCCGGCGGCGAAACAAACCCCCAGCTCCAGTGCAGCGGCCGGCGGCGACTCTTTCCTCCCATTACCTCTCTCTACTTCTTCTTTCTTTGGTTAGCTCTGCTCAAAACAAGAGCTTTTTCCTCTTCCCTGGCTTCCTCACCATGGCTCCTTTTCTTCTGTTCAACTCTTCTTCCCCCTACAAGAACAATTTTTACTTATTTATATATATACACTTTAGTTTTTTTTTAAATACTTTTTAAAGCTTTCATATTATATAAAAAAATTGAAACAAATGTTTGCATCCATAAATATGGCTTATGTGTAAAAATGTACATTTAAATTTAAATTGTAATATGTAAATACATAAGAATTAAGTGATGTGTGTCAGTGTATGTGAAAAATTATTGCATACGGACACCCAATGCAGAAGTGCATGTGATGTCTGATCCTGACCGTAGATTAGGATGTATTTTGGTGGCCCACTTAATTTTTTTTTTTAAAAAAAAATCAAAATACATCTTAACGATCAGGATCAGACATCACATGCATCAGACACAAAATTCATTTCTATATGCAGTATCTGTATGCAATAAATTTTTCCGTGTATGTACATCTTTCATTTCTAGACACTTAAGCAGATAATTTATTAATTTATCTCCCATCAGCCGCAATAATTAAATGAAATATATTTTTTTAATATGTAATCAAAAACTTTATCAAATAGGCTAAAAGCATAATCGGAAATGGAGAAGAAAAATTTGCTGCAATCCATTGAAGGGAACAGAAAATTGGAAATAAAGTAATCGAAAAAATTTTGAAAATATTATAATTTTCATAAGGGGCATTTACATAAACATAATTTAATTTTTATATAATTTTAGATTTAATATTTAAATTTATATTTTACATTTATCTCATCTAAAATACAGCTATTTTAATTTTTTAAAAAGAATGAAATGCAATATGGTATATTAAAATTAAAATTTCAGAGTTTAGATACGCCAATGCATAATAAAAATTGTGTGGTACGTAAGATATGAGTATATAAGTTCTAATTTTGGAAAAGTAAAATTTCCCTCCCATGTGCCTGAACCTGGCGACCTGAATCCGAACAGACCCGGGACAGAGGTAGGACCCGCCTTCAAGAGAGAGATATACATACAATTAAAATTTTTTTGCGGTTAGAGAAGGAAGAAAGAGCAAGCTCTCGAGATCGAAAAATTATTCCATATGACACGTAGTTTGCGTGCGGTGTTCGAATCGGATCTTACATCACCTGATCTACGGTCCGGATGTATTTCGGTGGGCCCCATCTAATTTTTTTTAAAAAAAATAAAAATATGTCCGTACGCAATAATTTCTCCTCGAGATCCGGAGTTACTTTCTAGGCACGGTACATATTCTGGAGATGATGTACAATCTAGTTATACTTTCGATTTCTCTTCCTACAATTATATTTTATCAAGTAAATAAATACTTGAATATTAATGTGAAGGTCAAATAATACAACATGATTGCACAGAATAAAAATTAAAATAACAGCTTTACTTTTTTTTATTTTTTAAATAAGAACATACATCAAGTTTTAATTGGAGTCCGTGTGTCAAAACTCCTAGTTGTAATATTTGCTAAATTAGAATACCAGACATAGATACCAGACATAGATAGAATGTTAGATAGATAGAATGTTAGTTTTTTTTTTTGAACTTTTTGTATATTTAATCACAAACTAACGCAAATATTCAAAAACACAAACCTCGATATGGGCACTCGCTGCGTGAGCCGAAAACCATTCTCTCTCATTGTAACTCGTTATATGGCTTTTAGGGGTGAGAAGAGACTAAGAGTTACGCTTTTCCGACGAAATCTCCGCCGACCGGCCGGCGGCGGCGATGGAGGTGTGGATGAGAGGGGCGCAGGGGGTGATTGGACCATCACTTAGATTAAAAGATGAATTAGTTAGATTAATTAGTGTTTAGGTAAGACATTTTGAGTAATTATATTTAAATAAGCTGATTATGAACGGAAAAGAAGTACTATTTTTATAATATTGATATGTTAACAGGAGCTAATAAAAATTTCAGGTTAATAGTTTAGGTTAGGTAGAGGTTGTTTAGTATTTAGTTGGCTACTTAAATATTGTTAAATGATATAATTAGCAAGAAAATAAATATGGCAATTATTTAATTAAATAATGAATAATAACTATTTTAAGTTAATTGAAGATCATAAATGTTGGATCATAATATTGACATGCTAACATAGTAGTTGCTAAACTCTAAGATCAAATGCATTCTAAATGTTCTTCTTAAGACTAGATCTTTAGAGTCTTTTCCTTGAAGTTTGAGTTGCAATAGATCACCATTCTCCTCTTAACTTCTTATTGTCTCATCGAGGCTTTAGCCTTTAGACATTCTAAGAAGTCTACTAATATTTAATGCCATATTGATTTTTCTCCTATTCTAGCGTCTCAACTTCTTTAAGTTTTAAGGTCTGTACCATTGCTTGTTTTGTCAATAATATAAAATAAATAGTAAAGCTTCCATGTAATGGGATAAGACAAAAAGGGTTAGTCTCTGAGGATGAATTAGTTATTAGGGCCCAAAGTACAGATGATCATAAACTTTCTTTCTTAAAAGACTCTAAATCAATTTATTGTCTGGTTCTACTCGCACATTGATCTATGGGTGATAAACTTATCGAAGAATTGTCGTATGTTTGTTTGTGATGAATGTTAGTGAAAGGTTGTACATACAAATAACATTGGACCAAAAGATGTTATGTAACCCTATCATTATTATCTTTTTTGGGCTTTTGCTTTAATCCATTTCAAATTATAGTGAACCATCAATGTCGGTGATGCCTTTCCATGAAGTGGTGCAGGAGTGCCTCTTAGTGCAGTCATGCTAGTGGTCTCTTAGCCTTTTTCTCATCTTTGACTCCTCTGAGCATGTTCAACACCTGTATCATATAAAACATAACAAAAGCATCTTCTACAACCATAAACTCATCATAATAGAGAAATATAATATGGAATTTATGAAGTAAATATCACAAATTTGATTTACATCATAATACAATCAAAATGAACAACTATAAGTTAGATGTATAAAGATAGATCATTATCCCGCAATTAGGAAAGGGTTACAATATTACACCAAGTACAATATTGTTCATATATAGAACAAAT